GCATCTCTAACTTCTTCAAATATTCTGGCATGTCACGATGGATGGTTCCTAGGGCTCCAATCACCACTGGTATGATGTCGACTTGTTTACATTTCCATATTCTCTTGATTTCTCTCTTTAGATCTTGATATCTGTCGACTTTTTCCTTCATCTTGTTTTCCACCCTGGTGTCAAATGGACATGCTACATCAATAATTTGACATGACTGCTGTTGTTTGTCATAAAACACGAGATCTGGCCGATTATGTTCAAGCTGGTGGTCTGTTTGTACCTTAAAGTCCTACAGGATCTTGTACCTTTCTGTTTCTATGACTCCCTCCGGTTCGTGATCGTACTACTTATCAGCTCTCTTTACACGAACTCTTCCACAAAACTCCCAATGAATTATCTGCGCAACCTTATCATGTCTCCAGTTCTTGTACTGTTTTTGAGCTAGTACACTGCATTCGGTGATGATATGACTGATGGTTTCGTCTGTCTCCGCACAATCGGCACTTTGGTGAGATATCAGCTTTATCGATGTACTTTTTGATGGCATTTGTTCTTAGGGCTTGATCTTGTGCAGCCATTATTAGTCCTTCAGTTTCTTTCTTTATGATTCCTTTCTTCAACCAATCCCACGTAAGTCCGTATCTTCCGTCTTCAGTATCTCTGATGAATTTCCCATGGAGTTCCTTTGCTTTATATCTTTCATATTTCCCTTTCATGATGTTATCAGCATTCGGTCTTTGTTCTTCAGGACTTGTTCTTTCACTACAGCCTTCAACATTGTTTCTGTTGACTTCTCTAGATATTTACTCAAACTTTGGACTTCGATGGCAATACAGTCTTCAACTCCGATTAATCCCCTTCCTCCTTTAGATCTCTTTACATACAGCCTATCAACATCAGCTTGTGGATGAAGACATCGGTTTATAGTCAGCAACTTTCTGGTCTTCCTGTCCATTTTTCTCATCTCCTCCTTTGTCCACTTAACAATTCCTGCGCTATATCGCACGACCGCAACTGCCCTTGAATTTATTGCTGTTATTATGTTTCCTCCATTGAGTTTGGACTTCAAGATCTTCCTGATTCGCCTCAAGTATTCGTTCTTGATGTCTTTTTCATTTCTTCGCTCATGATATCATCTGATTCTAACACTCCTAAGTATTTGTACGAGTCCCCCTCATCTAATGACTTAATTTTTTCTTGATTGGGAAGACATACTCCCTCGCTCTGCGTGATCTTTCCTTTCTTCATTATCAATACTGCACATTTACTTATGCCGAATTCCATTTTAATATCGTCTGTGAACTCATTACCAGTTTGAACTAATGAGTCAAGTTGTTTCTCATTTTTCCCCTATAACTTCAAGTCATCCATGAAAAGTAGGTGATTAATTTTGATATCATTTTTTCCAAGTTCGTATCCTTCCTTCATCCTTCAATAATAACGTTAAAGGTATGAGGGCAAATACAAAGGCTGTCGCCTTGAGAAAATCCCCTTCTGATGTTAACTTCCCCAAGGGTTTCACTTGCGGAGGTAAGTTCTGTTTTCCATTCCTTCATACTTCTTGAGATAAAATGTGTCATATTACTGGCTACCCCGAACAACTCCATACATTCCACTAGCCACGACTGTGGTACCATATCAAAGGCTTTCTTGTAGTCTATCCAAGCCATTCCTAAACCTGTTCCTCTTCTTTTGCAGTTTCTGATTATCATCTTATCAATTAACAGTTGGTCTTTTGTTCCTCTTGATCTTTTCCGGCACCCTTTTTGTTCGTCTGGTAATAATTCATTCTCTTCTAGGTGCTTGTACATCTCCTCTGATAACACACCAGTTAGCAACTTCCACATCAGAGGCAAGCAGGTGACTGGTCTGAAGTTCTTGACATCTCTGCCCTTTTCTTTATCCTTCATAATGAGGACAGTTCTTCCTTTTGTCATCCAATTCGGCACTTCTCTTTCACCTAAGCATTCATTCAATTGTTGGCAAATTCTCTCTCGTAGGGATGTGAAGTTCTTCAACCAAAAACCTTGCAGCCCGTCCAGCCCAGGAGCTTTCCAGTTAGGCATCTTTCTCATTTGGTTGTCTAGCATCTTCTTGTTAATGACTATATCTGCCTGTTTCGGCTTGTTGGTGTATTCATCTTTGAGGTCTTGTAACCATTCAGCTTCTGTGTTATGCTTCGTACTTTTCCCCCAGATGTTATTCCAAAATGTTCTGCTCTCCTCTGCATCGGGTACTACCGTTTCATTACTGATGTTCCCTTCTAATTCTTCAAATAGTCTCTTCCGATTTGATTGGAACATTCTGTTCTGTCGATACTGATTGCTTCGATTTTCACATCTCTTGACCTTAGCTGCTTTTGCCTGGACTCGCTGCTTCAACTCTTCGATTACGACTTTAGTCCCTTTATTCTTCACATGGTATTTCCTTTCAAGTCTTTCAGAGATTGATTCTTTCTTTCTCCTTAATTTCTCTTTGGAAAGATCTTCGAGGTGATTAATATCTTTTCTAAGCTGTTGAATTTGGTCTTCAATACGCCTTTTCCATCATGGCTCTTTTGCTTTCGGATGTGCTTTTGGATGTACACCTAGTGCTTCCGCAACTTCGTTCGCTGCAGCTAGCAGTATTCTATTTGTTTCTGTAATATTAGCCGATGGTATATGCTGAAGGACTTTATTTATCTCTTTCACTTTGTATCTGACTTTATTTCTGTCTAGATTTCTCAGATTCATTGGAGGATTTATTGTTTCCGTCTTCAGCTTCTCTATTATGTTCTCCAACATTCTTTGGTTCTCTTCATTGAACTCATCTTCCTCATTCACGGTGTTACTCTGGTCTATTTCATTGCTGCTCTGATCTGTTGTTTCTACAGGTTGGTTTCGATTCACTTCCTCGGTGTTTTCATTCCCATTATCTAGAACCTCCGGAGTTTCTTCTACATTTTCTGATCTCAGCTAGCCACAGTCTTTTCTTATTTCCTCAATTTCGGCATCACTTAGCCAGGATTTCATTTGAATTTGCCTGACCTGATCAGCTAACCTCTGTTCACCAATGGGATCTCCTCCATTTTCATTCCAGATCTTCCACATTCTCTTCCTATACCCTCTTTTATCAGGTTCACTCATGATGTAGCATTTCATGACTAATTGGTTGGTCATCTTTGACCATTTCTCTCGAGCAGTAGCAGGGTGACGACCGGGTCTGTGCTGCTGTGCCACAGAAAACCTGCCGAGCAAGGGACCTTCACCAATACTGGATCCAGCCCCATTTAAGGCCGTTATCTGAAATATTTTCATTTGACATTGCACTCATGAGGAGAATAGTTTTATCCGAGTTTTCCTTCCCTCGTGTGTTTTTTTCGAGATACAATCTCTAGGAGGGTTGTCAACCAAAACTAAAGAGTCCCTCCTACCTATGAGACAGACAAGCCCCTGCCGGACGCCAATTATTATTATTATTATTATTATTATTATTATTATTATTATTATTATTATCATCATTATTATTGATCTTGTCATTATTAATTTTATTATTATTATTATTATTATTGTTGTTGTTGTTATTAGCATTACCAATGTTATTGTTATCTTTATCATTGTTGTTGTTATTAATATTATTGTAATCATTGTTATTGTTATGACTATTATCATCCTTATCCTTATTATAATTACTTATCATTATTATTATTATTATTATTATTATTATTATTATTATTAATGTAATTATTATTATTGTTGCTATTATTATTGTTATCATTATCATTATAATCATTGCTATCATTATCGTTACTGTTATCTTTATCGTTCTTATTGTTTTGGTTATTATTGTTAAAATTATTACTATTATTATTATCAATCATTATTATTTTCATTATAAGAAGTATGAGTATTAGTTTCATTATAATTCTTGTCACCATTATTGTTGATATTATTAATAGCATCATCTATCATTATCATCATCATCATCATCATCATTTTTATCATTATCGTCATTATCATCATTATGATTATCATTTTATGAATCTTATTATCCCTATTACAATTTTGTTATTGCTATTATAATGAATATTATTGCTATTTATTAGTATCATTATTTTCATATTAATTTTATTTTTTGTAATTATTATTTCCATTATCTCCATTAATTATATTGTTGTCATTATTATCCTTATCACCATCATTGTTTTTTTTTCATTTTTCATTATTTATATTTCCATAATTATAATTATTATTATAAATGTTGTCATCATCGTTATTTTCACTTTTTTATCCTTATCATCGTCTTAATTTTTTTCCTATTATTGATTATATGTTATACAACAATTATCATCAAATGTATTGTTTTCATTATTATCGTTCTTATTATTATCGATTTCATCATAATTATTATCATACATATTATCATTTATATCATAATTGACTGTTATCGTTACTGTTATTATCCTTTACTATTGTTAATGCTATTGATATGATTGATATTACCATCATCTGTCTGTTAAATGTGATTTTAACAAATTTGATTATTTCTTATTTCATATAATTTAACAACCAGCTGTTTTCCGTGTTCAATAATGGTCTATGGACTTATTACTTTGAATTGTGGACCTTACAGCATTTTGTAGAAGTTATTATATAGTAATTATAAGGACAGTAACTATTCATCTATTGACATATGATTATGTCGTGATTATTATGAACTGTATGTGACCAGAAAAATTATTTTAAAAAATTTCCATGTACTATGTGTATGTCCGTTACAAGTTCTTTAATGTATTCTTCTAAGCTCTTTAAGGAAAGTCCTTTGATAAGAATTAGCATAATAGTTGATTTTATCTTTCAATCTCTCTCTAACTTCTTGTAATGATGAAAATAATGATAATGGTAGTAATAATAAGTAGTAATAGTAATAATAAGGATTGTAAGAATAATAATAAAAGCAATGATAATAAGAACAATGATAATGATAATAATAGTAGGTGAATAAGAGGATAAAAGTCGTTCCACTGTTATAATTTTCTACATTTTCTACATTTTCATTTGCGATCATTTTAACATTCAAAACCAACCGCAAGATGGCATAACAAGCACTGCAAAAATACGAGACGACGTATTCAGAACAACCCAAGAATTCGCGTCACTTGGAGAATCTGCCTATCGTTTGGGCGCCGGGGAGGCCTGGAAAAAAAGGTATGAACGAGAACGAAAACTTCCACAACGCAAGACGAGGAATCGACGTAACGATATCAGCGTGGAATGAGTCCCTTCTCCCTCATGCCCCCGCGCAACAGGAACCCTAGGGCGCAGCTGGTGCACCGGCGGGAGGGGCGCTCATCATGCTCTGGAAGGACGCGGTGGCCATCTGCATGAACGGGGAGACGGGCACGCTGTCCATGCAGGCCGTCTTCAGGCAGGTCACGAAGTCGGTGATCTTGTAGTCGACGGGCTCGGGGCACGAGGCGACGGCGGAGGCGACGGCGGCGCCCAGGGCGGGGGTGCTGAAGGCGGAGGCGACGGAGGCGGCGACGGCGGTGCGGTTCAGGGTCATCATGTCGGCGTTCAGCTGAGTGAAGAGAAATATAAGATGAAACTAGTATTCGAGAGAATAAGAGTCCGAAAAAAAAATACGACGAAGTAGAGAGAGAAAGAGAGAGAGAGACAGACAGACAGACAGACAGACAGACACACAGACAGGAAGACTGACAGACAGACAGACAGAGACAGACAGACTTAAATAATACATACACACACAGAACAGACAGCGCACACACAAAACAAAAAACAGCCAACACTGACCAGGCCCGTGGCGTTGAGGGCGCAGCGGCGGATGGCGGTGACGGTGGCAGGGTCGGAGGAGGTCTTGTCGGCTAAGCTCTCAGGGCTGCCCGACACGAACGCCAGACCTGAAGGGGGAGGGCGGTCGGTAGAGAGAGGGCAGGGAATGGATAATGATATAGAAGCAACGTAAATTTCATGAGAGAGAGAGAGAGAGAGAGCGGTCAGATACGCTATGTATTTGTGTGGAGATTTCTGTGTTCTTGTGTGTGTTTAAGTGTGTGTTTGTTTGTTGTGTGTTCTTGTGTGTGTTTAAGTGTGTGTGATTTTGTTTGTTTGTGCTTTTATTTCTGTATCTGTGTGTGTGTGTGTGTGTGTATAAGTATGTTTATATTTATGTATGCATTTAGGTATATGACAAAGCCATCAGGACCAACCAATGCTCATGAAGAACTGCGGGCCGAGGGCGACGCCGGTGGTGTTGGCGCAGGAAGTGATGGCCTTGACGGGGCCGCCCGGGGGGGAGAACACGGAGCCCACGGGGGAGCACTGGCCCTTCTTCAGCTGGCACGCCATCAGGGAGTCGGTGGGGGGGCACATCGAGGCTGACGTGGGGGGGGGGGAGGTGTTATAGAAAAGCTGTTCTACTTCACTTCCGCCATGAATGTGACTTTTTCGAAATGCTGCTCATAAATAGGAATGATGAATATTGCAAATCAAGAATCAAATCATATAGACTACGGAAATCTACATAAAAAATAATTGAAATTAATCTAACTATGCATGTACTGCATATATGTACATAGACCTCCGTACAAATTAGTAAACAGGTATATCTACATATTATATCTACACAAAACAGACAAGTATATTTACAAAATAATAAATAAACAGACAGACAGACAAACAAGTGTATTTACAGATAAATAAACATGTATATCAACATATAATATATACACACAACAGAAAAGAATATTTACAAATTAACAGACAAACAAACAGACAAGAATATTTACAAATTAACAGACAAACAAACAGACAAGAATATTTACAAATTAACAGACAAACAAACAGACAAGAATATTCACAAATTAACAGACAAACAAACAGACAGACAGATATACATCGATCAACTTACTGTCAAGCCAGGGCGAGGCCACGAATCCTCCTCCAGGCATGACAGCCGACGCCCCTGCCACAAGCACAAGCAAGCACGCAATGACACTCTGCATCTTCTCCTGCAAACGTATTGGAATCAATAATAGTAATAATAATGATAATAATGATAATGATATTAATGATAATAATAATAGTGAGAATAAAGATAATAATGGTAATGATGATGGTAATAATAATAATGGTAACAATAATAATGATAATAATAGTAATGATAATAATAATAATAATAATAATAATAATAATAATAATAATAATGATAATAATAACAATAATAATAATAATAATAATAATAATAATAATAACAATAATAATAATAATAATAATAATAATAATAATAATAATAATAATAATAATAATAATGATGATGATAATAATAATAACAATAATAATAATAATAATAATGATAATGATAATGATGATAATAATAATGATAATAACAATAATAATAATAGGGATAATAATAAGGATAATAATAGTGAGAATAATGATGATAATGATAATGATGATAATGATGATAATAATAATGATAATGATAATATTAATAACGTATTAATAACATTAATGATAGTAGCAATAACAATAATAATGATAATAATAATAATAATAATAATGATAATAATAATAGCAATAATTATGATAAAAAATAATGATAGTAGTAGTAGTAATAGTAATAATAATCAAATAGAAATTTCAAAGCAAACAAAAAAAGGCAAAGTAAATAACTAAGTGAATAAATAGCTAAATAAATGAATGAATAGATAGAAAAATAAATAAATAAATAAATGAATAAATGAATAGATAAATAAATGAATACACAGTGAATAACTAAAGAAATAAATGAATAAACAGATAAACAAATAAAAATAATGAAAGTCAATAAATAAAAGAAGATAAATAAATAAAAATAAATAAAGGAATAAGTCAATAAAGAAAAGAAAAAAATGAAAGAATAAATCAATCAATAAAGGGATAAATAAATGAATAGGTTAATAAAGAAAAATAATAAATGCATAAATAAATAAATATAGCTTACTGTGTCTTCACTTGGCCGAAGCTGAACTGAAGTATGCTGTGGCCCGACGTCGCTTCCTTATATATCCGCGACTGAGGTGGATTTGCAGGTAAAGTGGGGGGGGGGGGGGGGGGGGGGGGGGGAGTGTGGGAGGTTATTGAGGGGGAGGGAGGAGGGGGAGGGGGGGTTATTGTGGGGTAGGGGGAGGGGGAGGGAGGAGAGGGAGGGGGGTTATTGTGGGGTAGAGGGGAGGGAGGGGGTTATTGTGGGGGAGAGGGAGGGGGAGGGGGTTGTTGTGGGGGAGACGGAGGGGGAAGAAGGGGGAGTTATTGAGGGGGAGAGGGAAGGGGAGGGGTCAAGAGGGAAGAGAGAGAGGGGGGGGAGAGGTTAAAAGAGGAAGGGAAAGAGGGGGAGGAGTCAAGGGGGGAGGGGAGAGGAAAGGGATAAAGGGAAGGACACAGGCATTACAGAGGCAGAAGGAGGGGAGGGGTGAGAGAGGGGAGAAGGGGAGGGGGGGGGGCAAGGCTGGGGAGGGAGGGAGGGAGGGAGGGAGGGAGGGAGGGAGGCGTGACAACAACAAAGCCCCAGATGCTTGTCACGCGATAATCTTATAAATTCATCTCTGAGAACGAGAAGGATTTCACGAGACGATCATCATCTTGCGTCACTGTCATAAGAGACGATTTTTCTTTTTTTCTTCCTTTTTTTTTTCTTTTTTTACGCTTCTAGAATCTACGATATTGTTACGTTTTCTGTTAACACTATCTACGTTGCATTCGTTAGAAGGATGCAGTTGCTGTTGATAACCTGTCTATCTTGCAATTATACTATCAAGAGTTATGCAAATAAGGTCGATGAATGAATATAGACAGATATGACTATAGATAGATAGATAGATAGATAGATAGATAGATAGATAGATAAACTGATGGATAAATAGATAGATAGACAGATAGATAGAGAGACAGACAGACAGACAGATAAATGGATAGACAGATATATTGATAAATAAATAGATAGATACACAGATAGATAAATAGGTAAATAGGCAGATAGATAAGTAGACAGACAGATAGACAGATGGATGGATAAATAGATAGATAGATAAATAAATAGATAGACAGATAGGCAGATAGATATATAGATAGGCAGATGGGTATACAGATGGATAGATGAATAGAGAGATAGACATATAGATGGATAGATTGTTAGATAGATAGCTAAAAAGACAGACAGATAGATACATACGTAGAATGGTAGATAGATAAAACGATACGATAGTCTGTACATCCACATAGATACATAGATAGACAGATCGATAGACAGACAGACAGACAGACAGATAGATAGATAGATAGATAGAGAGAGAGATAGATAGATAGATAGATAGATAGATAGATAGAGAGAGAGAGAGAGAGAGAGAGAGACAGAGACAGAGAGAGAGAGAGAGAGAGAGGAGAAAGCCGCGCGCGCGCGCTCTGCGCTCTGCTCTCTAACTCTCCCACTCTCGCGCCAGGTACGCAACCATCCCCGCACCCACGCTCTCACCCGCAAACTCTCGTCCCGAGCCCCACCACGTCCTCAAAACAACACACACAAACACAACTTTCTCTCACACAACACTCACTCACTACACACACACACACATACACACATCCCACATCCACACACAACCACTCAACCACCCCCACCCACACACCGACACATACTCAACACACACACACACACACACATCAACACAGAACACACAACACACAACACACACACAGCACAAACACACTCACACAGACATTCAGAAAGACTTACAAGCAGACATAAATGAATTCCCCTCTACTAGCAAAAAAACCCATATCACGACCTCACATAAACACCTGTAATAAACACAATGAACAAATTAGTTAGTTAAAATTGTTCAGATACAGGTTAAATGCACTGTTGTACTTCCTGTTGTAATTTCTAGATATGTTCAAGAAACCCTAAGAAAAAAAAAATATGACAACTATCTAAATAAAGAGAATAAAGTCAGATTAGAAATAGATAAAAGAAAAAAAATCTATCTCTGAACATCCGAGATTTATAATGACGTGGTCCGTTCTGATTGGCAAGATGGAAAATGACGTGACACGTTCTGATTGGTAGCTGGACGAAAAATGACGTGGTACGTTCTGATTGGCTGGACGAGCTATAATTGCCGCCCTGTTTTATTTCTCTCTCTCTCTCTTTATATTTGATTAAATTACGCCAAATCGTTTAAAAGTAATTGGAATGCGATAAAACCCGTATCTCATCACTAGAAATTAACTGTAATGCAGATTCTGAACCCCAGTGTGTATTTATTCATTAGACACATTTAACACGACGCTGGCAGCCTGGACCGCGAATTATAAAAATGGTTTATAAAAGTATTTTTGATTAATTTAGAATAATGACAGACGGCAATTTAGTTTCTTTGATGATGAGAACGATAGCAGTACTACTAAGCATGGCTATTGGAGTTAACACAAACTTTCAATTATAGCATCCTTCATTTAGGGGTCATTTATAATTTTAAAACTTTCAAAAGTTGATTTTAAGAATGTCGTTGTTAGAGAAATATGTTTTGTACACTTTTGAACAAGTTAAGAATATACGTATTTCTTTTAGATATTTCTTTGTCGTGTTGTAAACTGGAAGAGTTACTCATATATATAAGTCTATGTGGTTGGTGTGAGGGAGTAGACCTCTAATATATATCTTGGGACATTTATACTTACTTATACACATACTTGTACATTTATACTTTATACTGATCATAAGAAATATAATATATGGAATGCGAGATGAGTGCTGACTATCTCCCTCTATTTAGGCGAAGAAGTCAAAATGTTAAATTATATATTTTATTGGAATAAAAAAAGAAGGGTGATAGTCACAGGATAAAAAAAATGATAAAGATAACAATTTTTTAAAAATCCTTATATCAATTCTCCTGAGGAGGCTGTCTGCCTTTTCCTGAATATTCCTCTAAGACATTTAAGTCTCTGAATTAGGCCATTTTGGGGAAAGCCTTCATGGCAGGTTTGGCCCCCATTGCGGGTGGAGTCTTCATGCCAAACGGTGACCCCATGTATGGAGAGGATGGCTTACTTCCTGATGGGAACCCCATGTAAGGTGACCCCATGTAAGGTGACCCCATGGAGGGCGACCCCATGAAAGGTGCCTTCATCGGGAATGGCGAGGCCCCCATGCTGGATGAGGGCCCCATGAACGGCCACCCGCCCATCATGGGAGGCACGACCACGTTCGCCATGCAGGCAGATTTCAAGCAGGAGATGAAGTCGGCGAGCTGGTAGTTGACGGGCTCGGGGCACGTGTCGACGGCAGAGACGACGGCGGCGGCCAGGGCGGGCGTGGTGAAGGCGGAGGCGACGGAGGCGGCGACGGCGGTGCGGTTTAGCGTCACCAAGTCGCTGTTCAGCTGAAAAGAGCAATCGTCAAGTAAGATAACTTCGCTAGAACACATCTAAATATTAGCAGTTAAAAAGTACGATTAACTAAAAGCTTGCATGTTTAGCCAAATACCAGTTAGCAATAAATAAATAAACAAATAAATAAAAAATAATAATGATAATAGACAAGATGAAATGACTTACCAGACCCGTGGCATTCACGAAGCAGAACCGCATGACAGTGACTTGGTTGGGATCAGAAGAAACCATGTCGGCCATGCTCTCAGGGTTGCCCGAGGAGAATGCCATGCCTGAGGTAACGAAAGAATAGAATTGGTACATTTACTCGTCATAAAATAATATGTGTATCTTTAATAGGTTACTTTCTTAACAGACGTATATCTCCCCATGCTAAAAAATGCGCTTCCGTCTTACCAATGCTCATGTAGAACTGCGGGCCGAGGACTGTGCCGGTGACGTTGGCGCAGGAGGTGATGGCCTTGACGGGGCCGCCCTTGGGGGAGAACACAGAGCTGAGGGGCGAGCACTGGCCCTTCTTCAGCTGGCACGTCGCCGGGGGGTCCGTGGGGGAACACATCGAGGCTGAGGGGGGGGGGGGGTGATAACGATGAAAAAAGGAGGGAAAACCGAAGAGAAATGTTGAAATGAAGGTAGGAATAAAATAAAATAAAGTATATCGAAAACAATATTTTTGAAATAATGTAATGTGCTAGACCTGACACATTTCAGATGCTTCATATTCAAATAAATTCTGTTTGGCGTTAACTGTGCTTTCACCTATAGTATACTGACTGAACTACAATAGTGTTTAGTTGTGAAATGCCAAAAATAGACTCACTGTCTGTCCAAGGCGAGGCCGCGAAACCTCCTCCAGGCATGAGCGCCGACGCCCCAGCCGCGAACACCAACACACACACGGCGACGGACTGCATTTTGTTCTGCGAAACGTAAAATAACAAACTTTTTTAGAATTATAGAATTACATATGTCTACATTCACTTTTTCCCTTCAAAGACTCTACCCCTTAGATTCGGAAAATATTTCAAATGAATAACAATCCTTCGGTCAGGAGGTCCTCCACTCACCTCTCTACCAAGC